CCCGGGCGCGCGCGGGTGCGCCGCGAGAGGGGAGGGGAGGGGAGGGGAGGAAAGGGGGAAGGGGAGAGGGGAGCGGGGCGGGCCGGGAGACGCGCGCCTGGCGGCCGGCAGCGGCGGGGGAGCGGGGTCGTACAAGTGGCTTTCACAGTTGTGGTTGACAGTTGTTTCCCCCCTAGGGAAATGGAAAGAGGGAAGGAATTTATGATGAGGCAAGAGCTTATTGATGCTGCTGAAGCCAGTGGTCTGTCACAACATGCAATAGGGTACGGTTTCAGTGATTCAGTATATTCCACGGTTGCTGATTTCAGCTGATATTTTGGTGCATCACTAACTGTCTCTGTTGTATTATGAGCAGCCCAAATAACAGTAGGAATTCTCGGAATGATGGTTACAGTTTCACTGGATGGAATAGCATGAAGACGTTAACAAATAAGGATCTGGTTGAGAAAAAGAGTAATCCTGCAAAGTAATGTACCAGGCTCATCCTCATGTTAATGTTATGTTTTTCCGTCATTTACTAAAAAAATATTTGGATCTTTTAGGGGAGTAAACCCAATACGTTTTATACTCATGTATTAGAGCACAAGTTTTATTACCTTCACATCACTGGCTATTGCTATATAATGTACTATTGTGGCTCTGCTAGCTATTGGTTTTGAACTTTTTACTTTGCCTGATCTTTCTTAAATGATAAAATGATGTTTTAATGGACTCAAACTCAAGGAGATACCAGAGCTATAAAATATATCACTTGTATGCATGAACTTGACTCTCATTAGATGGTTCATAGGGTTCTCACGTATTTAAGTATGATTGTGTCTGCACTAGTTTATCTGATTCATGCTCCTACGACACTCACCGGACAGAAAAGCCTCTCACATGTTTTGGTCCGAGTGTGGATCGGCTGGATCCAAAAATGTGGCTAACCTCTGGTGTGCTTTTGCTGTTTGGTAAATGTGTTCTCTAGTAATTTAACTTGTATCAAGAAACATTCCTACTTCAGTTTTTTCTCTTGGTCGGAGAAGTTTGATATAGTGCAGCAGTGAAGTCATATATATGCTAGCAGAGTATCAAGATCTGATAGTTTGCTAGTTGATGCTTGTGGGCACCTTAGGTAATATAATGCTCTCTAATCTTTTGAGCTAATTAAGAAAATATATCTTTTAAACATACAGCTCTGCGGTGGTATATCATCAATTTTCTATCGATGGAATAGAAGCAGGCATGTCCAATTCCATAGCTCCTTTGTACTTATCTGGTCCACAGTATGAACCTAAAACATGTTTATAAAAATCTTGCACATGTGGCCATTTGGGAATGTTCCAGATATATGCCAGTTTGCTACATGAACTGGATCTTGCTCATTGTTTTGGTCCTACAGTCATCTCCCTTCTTTATTTCCACCCTGAATACAAACAGAAGCTCACCCTGTTCAGTTTGCATCTCCTTTTCTCTCTCTGGGGCTTTATTTGCCAATCACACACATTCTGTTGAGATACCAAGCATAGACTTGGGACTTACCGTATGAGTTTGCCGTAGGTATTATCTAACAGAAAAAGGCAAAGAGACAGCTTGCGATTGTCTCGCACAATCTGGATTGGACGGTCCTGCAGGACCTTTAACGGCGGCCGGTCATCCTGCAGATGTGCTCAGTGATTCAGATTCTGATGAATATGACGACAGCAGTCCCCTGATAGGTATTAATAAAGTTTTCTGCTCATGCAGTATGAATTTCCAGAAACTGATTATTGTACCCCATCAGCACTATAATAAATTCCCTTTACTCAATTGCAGGTTCTGAAAGAATTGGACTTCCAAATTCAAAAGCAGGCAGTTCCAGTTCCTTTGGTATTAGCATGCTTTCTTTGCATATAATATGATGATATATTCCATAAGCAAAATATTACAACCCGCTGATCTTTGTAGTTAATGCCATTTTTTCAGACAATGGCCGTGCTACTAATTCTCCTCTTTCATCTTGAGGAATGTTTGGACAACAATCGTTTAGTGCAATGGTACACTTGAATTTCCCTTTTCGTACCCTTCTTTTTCAAATGGAACATAATGCAACATTTTCTTTTCTAACGCCAGGGTTCTGCTCAAAAGTGCTTACTAGCTATGCCACCTCATCAATCTAATGAAAGTTTTCTGAAAGCTTATGAAGTGGTGCTGATATTGGATGATCGAGAAACTTTCGGGTCTGTATGATTGTATGTTACTCATGAGCTGTATTTTTTAGTTATGTCTGATATTTAAGCAGGATCATATTAAGGCTGTCTTAGCAAATAAACAATATATGTCCCCCCCCCCCCCAAAAGAACATCTTTTGAGGAGGGTAATATAACCGAGGATTGGGAGTATGCGTACCTAGTCTCTCTTTCGCATGACCTGCAAGGGCATTCTATTCTTCATGTTAATATTATTTCTGGTAAAATAAGATAGACAAGGGATTTCACATATTTATCCACTTACTGCTGGAATTGTGAATTTTGATGACACTTTGGTTCGTTATCTCGTGTTACTTAAACTGTTTAACCTTCTGCTTCTGTATATAAAATTTAGATTCTGTATGTTGTTTAATTAAATTATTTTCCAAGGAAACAAATTGATTATTGTTGCGCCCAATAGTTTTTTATAATCATCCATCTATGCATCAAAATTCAGTTCTCTTATGATTGCTCCCTTTTTGTGCAGGCCCCATTCCAGAAGAAAAGTTGTTGGTAATATACACTCGCAGATTAGTATTCCTATAGAGGTTAGTTGGATTGAGAGTTATGTGAACTCTTCTTTGTTTAACCCTGCTTGTCCTTTCCTTTCTTCTTGTATCTAATTCATCAGTACTCCTCTGGGTGTTATCCTTGTTCATTTCTTCAGACAACCAAAATACACTGCTAAAAGTCATTATATGCATCAACACGGCTCTAAATTAAATGCCCTTTACTGTTGGATTAGTTATCTGATATGTTTGGTCATTGCCCCACCGTGTTGATGATTGGTGACTGCACATTTTTTGTCGGGGGTTGGATACGACATATGCCAAAGGATGGCTTATCATGGTGGGAGCGAGTAGAACGTCGCCGGTGCCTGGAAGCGGGATGAGGCGAAGACATGCACGCCGGCGGAACTTACCCAGCTTCAGGGCTCTCCTAGGAGATAACACCCCTACTGCTGCTCTGCGGGGTCTCCGCATGATCACTAAAGCAAAGTGACTACAATGGTGCTCCTGGAGCTGTTTCGGGAGGTAGGAGAGGGCAAGGCTAGCTCTCTCCTACCTGGGCTATCTGGTCTATCTCTCTCTAGGTCCGAACCCTTTGCATGGGTGCCCCGGGGGGTTTATATAGGCCTACCCCCCGGGGGTACAATAGTAATCCGGATTTGCGCGGGTCCCAGCCGTCTGTCTCTCAGGCCACCGTCCTTCCCGCCGGCTTCTGGGGCCCGCCGACTGGCGGGTCCCACGGACAGGCTTGATACTGTAGCGGCACTCCTGATGACGCAGGCTCGGTCATCGGATCATGGCAACAGTGCCGCCGTCTATCGGGCGACCACTGTCGCCATTCCCCATCTTATCTGATTAATGGCTCGTGGGGCCCCAGGAGGAGTCGGCCGACTCCAGGGAGGCCGACTCCCACAGGTCCGTCTTCGGGTTGCCCAGGCCACCTTCGGCCCACCCACTGACAGGCGGCCCCACCGCCTTCGGGTCGTACAGGCCGGCGTCGTGGGCACAGTGTACTGCGTACTGTGGCTGAGATCAGGGCAGGCATGGCAACAGTGCCGCATCTCGCCGGAGATCTTCCAGCGATACGGCTCACTGTAGCCATGCCGGCCCTTCGTAAGCAGGGGGGGACGGCCATGCCGCGACCGTACCCCGCGTCGTACTTCGGGATAAGGGAGGAGTCTTGGGCCGACTCTCCATAGTCGGCCTCTCTGGAAGTCGCTAGCTTGGAGTCGGCTTATCTGGGAGTCGCCGTCTGGGACTCGGCATATTTTGGAGTCGCTCCTGGGACTCGGGTTAGCCTACCCGTGGCCCATCACTCCGACAGTAGTCCCTGAAGCTGGTGAAGCCCTGCGGTCGCTGCATTGTGGGGCTTCAACAGCTTCAATCTTAAAAGTTCATACTCTGGGACTCGGCTGCCGTCTTCCCTTGGGCCGACTGTCGAAAGTCGGAGCTTCAGTGAAGAGCCTCAGTTCGAAAGTCGCGGCGGGAAGCCAGGCGGCGTGCCTGATACGCTTCCCCGCAGCCATCAGGGCGGTCCTATCGCGTGGCGCCACGCGGGGAGAACAGTCTGCCTGCCCACGCGCGTGACGGGACGGGCCGTCAGGCGGGGCCCGCCACTACCGCGCCTCGGCATATGAACGGATCCGTTGCAGCCCAGGACGGTTGGTTTTCCCACGTCATTACTGCGCGCAGTAACTTCGTGGGTAAATCGTGGGGCGGCGTGGGGCATCGTGCGCAGTTAATCCCACGCCCGCGCCCTCGTCTTCTCAGCCCGCAGGGCTATAAGTAGGCGGGGGGAAGCGGAGCGGCACAGCTCGCGCGCCCTTCTTCCCCGCTCCCCCGCCTAATCTTGTCTTCTCTCTCTCTCGCCTCCGCCATTGAGCAGGAGCACACCATACCGCGGCGATGAGCTCTTCCTCCGCCGCGGCCCCCGCCGTGCGCTCCGGCGTATGGGACGGTTCGGAGGTAGAAGAAGAACACATCGAGTTCCTCCGCCAGACACGCCGCCTCCCGAGCGCGGACCTCGTACGCGCCCGCGCCGCGCCGGAGGGGGAAATCCGGCCGGTGCCGGAAGAGGGCGAGCGGGTCATATTCCGCTCGCACCTCATGCGCAGCCTGGGGGTGCCGGCGAGCGGCTTCTTCCGCTCGTTCTTGGAATTCCACAGCCTTCAGCCGCACCACCTCACACCGAACACGGTAGTGCTGCTCTCCGCCTTCGCCACTCTGTGTGAAGGTTTCCTCGGCGTTCTCCCCACCATCAAGCTGTGGGGAGAATTCTTCTCTTCTAAGCTCGGCACGCACATCGCCGGCGTGCCGGCCCAGTGCGGCGCCTTCATCGCGATGCGGCGCTCGACGGACGACAACCCCTTTCCTCCCATCATGCTGATCAAGTCGGTGAAGATGTGGCAGCGCTCATACTTCTACGTGAAGAACCTCGCCTCCGACGGCGACTGGGTCAACTTGCCGCCTTACAACGCCGCTCCCCTGACTGGGCGGCTCCCCAGCTGGTCCCACCGAGTCAAGACGCTGACTCCCGCCGGAGCCGCCGCCGTAGCGCGACTCCGAGTCTTGACGCAGTCGGAGGGACTCGTCGGGGCCGACTTGCTGGCCGCCTTCGTGGCGCGCTGAGTTCTCCCGCTCCAAGGCCGGCCTCACTTGATCTGTCAGATGAGCGGCCCCCGAGACCCAAGTCGGATGAGCA